TATGCAAACTTTCATATACAGTGACTGCCATTTTGCCCTCAATGGTGCTGAAATATTGCAAATTTCCAACTATGCAACACTGAGATCTGAACACTACTGGATGTTTCAACAAATTCATTGCCGCAACTACACATTTGAAAATCTTCTGGAAAAAATAAAGTAGGAAACTGGGAAACTGTAAGCTTGCTAAATGTGCTTCCCAAGGCAACAGTGTCTGCTTTATAGAAAATATTTGGTCTATGCTTAACAGCTGAGTCCGCCTCAGGAAACCAAGGATACTTTCACACCTGATAGTCTGGTAGACTCTGTTTGATTGAGCTCCAAACCTACGTTTGTTACATTTCTAGCTGATCTGTGTCAAACAATCCATACCCTTTGAGCAACCCATTTACCCCTCTCCGTGGGGGGGTACTGCAACACAAACTACAGGAGGAAATGACTCAAAACCTCTGAATAAGACACTGAATGCAACTGTCCTCTTCACAAATTGTAAATGTTTCTTTGGTAAAAGACCAGGAGCCATTTCTCTTGCTAGTCTAGTACTAGACATGCATGTTTGTCTTGGTTGTATTTACCCAGAATGCCCTGCGCTGTATTTCACTTCCTGCTACTGGAATGGTCTTCAGTCCACCTGAACCATACCTCTGAAAGAAACTGGATGTTTTAAACATGGCTAATGTGAAAACACCTGATATTAACTGATTCTGCTGAGAAGAGTCGTCTAATATCCAGCTAGAGTTTCGCCTGTTAATGACTACAAAAAGCATGCAGTCAATGCACACTTTGCAAAGGGGCATTGAGTCAAATATCAAAGGCGGTTTTTGTGTACATTTGAGTCTTCATGTATAATTTTGATAATGACCATTTCACCTGGGAGTAAAATGGTTCATATAAATCATCAAAAGCCTTAAATATGACTTAAATGTTGATGATTGCAACCTCCCTGTTCTTGTCTATACATTCATATAACTCCCTCTCTTTTGAACATAAAGGCACATACATAAATAAAACAAACATCTTTTTATGAGTTTCTGGTGTCAGTCCTATAATTTGCGTTCTCCTCAGAGCTGGGAGAGATGCTGCGCTCACCTCTGGCCCCCGTGGCTGCATCTGATGCTCTAAGTGTGCCGCCGCGAACACGCTCCCGTCTTCGTCTCCTCCAGAGGAGAGCGAGGTGCGTACATTAATGACTGTTTTACGGGTTCTTGCTATCCGAGTCTCTTTTATTCACGTTGGCCATGACGGCCTAATATCTGCCTGTCAAACAACTTCCATTCACTCCTCTAACAGACTGGAGACTGATACTTAAGACACAAAAAAGCCCACACCTACGTATCCTCTCCTCAGTAGATTAGTGGGTGGTGAAGGAGCCACACTGGCCATTATCTGCTGCTCTTGCTCCAATCAATTACTATTCATTTATACGAAAGGAGTGACCGTGTCCTGATCTGAAGAGGTGTTAAAACGAGTGTGTGCGCCTTGCAGTTTATTCCAATCTTTTTAACAAAACTTTGATTCTCCTCCTACCTCTGTCACTTTCTCCTCTGTGTTCACTTTATTTTTCCAGCTTCTACTTTTTTTTCAGTTTTTTTCTTCTCCAACTTTCTTTGTCGACATATTGTCACCCTTCGTTTTTAACCCTTGATCCTTTTACATCCTTCAGAAACGCATCACTGGCATTCTTGCCTTTTATTTCTCTAAAATATATAATTATCTTCCTAAAAATATAGTTTTACAGCAGGTTTATTAATCAAAAGGTTCAGTTTATCCAAATGGCAGTGGTTAGCATAACCAGCAATAGTACTGCTCCATTGGGAATGAATTTGTTTATTTTATCAGAACAACAGACCTGAAATTTCAGGCAAGAAAACACAAACCTTTCAATAGTTTCATGTATATTGTTAAGGCTTTTCTCATAAAAATGCAATAACGCTGCATACCATCATCTACTCTAGACATCCATTCTCCCAGTCTAGACAGAACGTCTCTGCTTCATAAAATACCTATAGATTTTTTTTATTTTGCAGAGTTTTTCAGTGCTTTGTTATCCATTAGACCATATTTTATTATTCCTATAATACAGCAAATAATTGAATAGTTTTTACTGAAAACCACAAAATTATTAATCTAAATGGATCATAAAACACTCCAGTAACTTCTGAGTCAATGGCAAAAAAGCAGGTTTAAACAATTGCTTTTATAACTCCCTGTCAGTACTAGCGGCACTACAAGCTAATGCTAGCTCACATGTTGGCTGGATACTACTATTCATCAGAAGCTGTTCATATTTATGACTGTCATAATGGGTTCTAGTGAACGTACCCACATGTAAGAACACAACCAGTAGAGCGAATCACAATAATAAAGTTTATTAAAGAGAAGTGGTGGGGGAATTCTGGATACGGGGTTGGGACTGCAAGGTCATCAACTGAGAGGACAGATGCGAGTAACAGTCGGTAGCAGAAAGATCACGCAGAGATTAGGCGGAGAATCTTACTTGGGAAAGGGGTTGAAATGGGTTTGATTGTTGCCTGAGGTCGCTACTGAAGACGGAGGTCCAGAACTCGCTAATCCAGCGAGCGGTGCACGATGGAGGACGGACAGGTAAGAGAGGCTGTAGCGGACGGCTGGCAAACGGAGAACTCAGATACATCCAGGGGCAAGGGTACTGGCTTCCAACAGGTAATACCTGAGGCGTCAGAGGGGGAAACGGTTCCTCGGAAGGTTGGTCGGAGCGGTGATCGCTCGGAGACGTGGCTTCCGACAGATCGGACCTGAGACGACGAGGTTCCAGGAGACTTGAATCCACAGACTACACACTGGGAGACGGCAGAAAACCATTCAAGGTTAACACTCAGGCACCGCAGCGTTTGCCAGCCGCAGCATAAATACTCCACTTCAGCCCTCTTCAAATTAAACACAGGTGCATCAACAGGGTCTACTACCGCATGTTCCAGGGACTCAGCCATCGAGGACCTCTGGTGGATGGTGAGGAAACAACAGGCAACAACAAAACAAAACCCAAACCCAAGACTAAAAACAAACAAAAAAAAACTCTGATCCCAACAATGACATGTCTAACAGGTTTTACACATCACTGTACATTGTGAAACCGGGTTCGATGGCAGCCTTTGACACTCCATTGTTGGCATATTTTTATTCATAAGGCCATATTAGAATTTCTATCGTATTTGTTGCTTTTTATTAACAGAAAGTTCTCCAGTGGATACTCTCTTCATTGTGAGAATTTATTTTCACTTACTTTCTAAAATCCAAACTGAATTTGTACACAAATCTTTTCAGTTTTTTGCTCCATCTTCTTGGAACCACTTACAGAAAATCATGAACATGAAGATGTCTCTAAATATTTTTAAAACTTTTCTTACTGTCTGTAAATGTTTTATAAATGGGGAATGCTGTATTTTTTTTATTTGTGACACTGTTAGCTTTTTCTGTTCTTGCTGTAACATCTGTGCTGCTGCCAGTCTTGGCCAGGACTCTCTTGCATAAAAATATTTTCATCTCAAAATAAAAAATAAAAAAAAAACATCTTTATTTGTTGTGAAATAAAGGTTAAAAATATTTGTCCTCTTCTTGCTTCTGATGAAACAATTTCTATGGATAAATATTTGATGCTACTTTTATGCGCTCCTGTCGCATCTATCTGTGCTGCTGTGCTAGCATGGCTTTACATGGATTCTCACAAGAGTAAGAGAAATTGCAGAAATTTTCTAAAGATAGACACAAAGCCTAACCCCCTGGAGTGTGTTCATGGGAATTTTGTAACATTCTTTCTTTCTTTCATGTAAAGCACTTTGAATTGCCTTGTTGCTGAAATTGTGCTATATAAATAAAATTACCTTACCTTTAGAAGTACATATGTGAGGTCAGACAATGATGTTGGCGATGTGTACTCCACAACTAACAATACCTGTAAAGACACAATCTTTAATTTGAACAATCCCAGATTTCCCTATCAATAAAACTATAATGTGAACATTACAGAGAGAACCAAATCCTCACACAACTAGACAGATTTTTATAAAATATTTTTTCCCCCAAGGTTTCATCTGCCCTCTTTCTTTCCTTCTTGATAAAACGCAATTTTACTAAAACGTTCAGCCTCGCTTCATCTCCGTCTTTATGCTTTAACCGTCCTTTCTCTGTTTCTTCGAGGCTACATAAGACAGACCTCCCTCTTTTCCATTTCTCCCCTCTCTCTTTTTTTTCCACTCTCTGCCCCCCTTTCAATGTAAGAACCAACAAGTCTCAGACAGAAGGAGGTCAGACTTCTTATTTAAGCTTCATAATGGTCTTGAAAAGAGGAGGCACGCATTGCAATAATTAACAAGCCACTGAACAATAGACGGTGCATAATCAGTATGGAGATGTATGCTGTTTGCCCCACTCCTCTAAACACTCACTGTATTTCTGTTTCCTTGGAGTATGTATTCATCTGAGGGGCTTTTCATTTTCTTTAGGTCTTCTGCTATATTGCATTTTTGTAACCCACCACTCTGCAGTGTTTCTCTTTTTTTCAATCACTTTCTGCCCTGATTTTGTTCTTTGGTTTCCAGATTTCATATAATAACCTCATTTCACTTGGAAAGTGACAGGCATGCACAAAAGAGTCAGACAAAGCCATAGTTTTCTTCAGCATACAGTAGGCTCAGAGTGATTCTTTATGTATTTGGATGGTGGAATATGTAGATCCACAAGGTAAAGAGGCTGAATTTTTTTCTTCCATACTTACTGAGTCTGCCATGGTGCAGGGTCGAGGGCGGTGCGTCTATGAATCGGCTTCCAGACAGCGGCACCTACACTCTACCTACTTGATGTTCAATGGTTTGGCTTTGCAGCTTCTTTTTATGTAGACCCTCAAACTGCAGCATTGTGGCACTGAAAGTTTGTATCAGACAGAACATTAGGCGAATTATTCAAAACTGAGAGCCATGTATTCTTAATATGCGATCAGTCTACTTAATGGTTGATGGTGAGAGGCAGGGCATGCGATGGAGTGGAAGGGAATCATGGTGCACATGTCTCTATCAGGCCTCTTTTGTTCAATCAAGGCCAACAGGTTTCCTTGAACAGAGCTGAAGGAGATCCTAATGCTTTAATTGATCTTTTTTTGTGGGTGTACAGTCGTCCTTAAAATTATTCTAATATTGTCCTTTCCTTTCCCATTGTGTTTCTACTATTTATTTAATGCAGGCTGCATTAAATAGTCATTCGCCCACTGCCTTCAAAATAATAATAATAAAAAAAAATCATCTTTTTTTTTTGATAACCTGATGACATTTGTGTTGAATGTAAGACAGGAAGGCAGGTACAGAGAAGAGAGCAATTCCAAGTTGCCCAATGCAAAAACATCGCTGAAAACGTATGTTCCATGCGTGACGTTAACGCTTTAGGTCTTGCATAGCCTGGTCAAGTTGCTTCAGATCAGAAGATAAACACACTGGATTCACATTTTCTTCTTTGCAACATTTTAACACATTCGCTCAAAATGTCACAAGACAATTGGATGTAATGGTAATTGTGATTTTATAGCACATTTTCAGCAATAAGGTAATTCAAAGTGGTTTACATGAATTAAAATGAAATACAAACAAAAGAACAAACCAAAGGAAAGCAAAAGAAGAAAAATAATCTAATAATGTTGATCCAATGTATATAAGCTAGATACTCCTATTCAGGGTTGGTAGATAAGTATAAGTAAGTATCCTCTGGTCTGGTTCCTTTTCGGGGTTGGAAGAATAGGAGTCTAAAAAGTAGTTGCTAAGGTAGTTTTTCTGGATTCTTAGTTTGTTCTAATCCCTGTTCTGGGTTGCTAAATAAGTGTAAGTAAGTATAAGTATACTCCGGACTTTCTAAGTATGCTCTAAAGTTATAGAGCTAAGACCAATTCCATTCCGTTAGTGAGTTTTGGAGTCCTCAACTGGGCTGCGAGTAACAGCAAGACACATCCAACTTGCATCTCTGTCCACACCAACAGTCTGAGTGTTGGCCAGTTCAGCCAAGTCTATCACCAATTTGTCGATAAGCCAGGTATCCGCAAGCTCCAAACAGCAGAAATCCTGTTATCATGAATAAATCCAAGGTGAATCCCTCTGGGTGTGTACCCGCAGGACAAAAGGGCTCTCCTGTGATCAGTATTCTCGTCGAGAAAATTTGATCAATTGCAATGAGAGACCAGTTGACCAGATACATAGTTTGCTGATTTGGAGGATGCGCAAAGAAAGGCTCCAAAAATAGAGAAAAAGGCAGCATAAAAACAGAGCAAGCAGGGCAGGCAAGGACAGGAAGGGAGGAGAGGAAAAAAGCATCCGCCATCACCGAGGGCAAGAAAGAAGAGCTACTGTTGTAGACACAGCAAACAGGAATGTGCTATGGTGTGGTTTTGGCCTTTATGTGTTTCAGAAAGAAAATGTGTCACCCTGAATGCTCTGTCTGCATAGTGGTGGCAGCATATGCTGTGAGATTTTTGCTTAGCAGAGACAGGGGAAGCTGTTTGTGGGAAGAGTGGAGCGAGGTAACCTGTTCGAAATCCAGCCAACACTAAATACTATATTCATGTGCTAAAATGGCCCAGTCAAAGTTCAAACATAAATCCTAAGTAGACTTTGCCAAAAGACTTGAACATTGATGTTCACAGATGTTCACGCTCAGAGTTACAAAGCTGGAGATGAACCACATTGGCAGATAGATTGATGTTATTTTGCTCGAGTTTTTGGGTTTTGTGAGTAAATATTTTCATATCTGATGAATAGATGAATAGTCGGGGTCACAAATTATTTCCAGTGAAGCTGAAACGTTTGGGAACCATTTCTAAAGCCTCATTTGAACCACAGTCAAGTTCATTTCTTCTGAAACCGATCCTAAAGTATAGAAGGAAAAAAGGCCCAAACTTCACGGCCAACTTAGTTTTGCCTTGGAGTGAAAAAAATGCAAAAGCTACCTAGTCAGGAGCAAATAAATAAATTTCTGCATTTTCAAACAGGAATTTCAACCATAATGACATTTTTTGGGAGATTTTTCATTTCAAAGAGCTGGGAGTTATGAAATGTCAAGAGAGAAAATATGATTAGTGTGAAATAATTAAATAGAGAAGGTTACAATGCTTGAAAGATGCATCTGAGGGAATGTTTTCCCTTAAGAATAAAATACAGTACAAAACTTGAAAATAATCAAATGTGAATAAATAAAAAATTGAGGAAAAAAGACTTTGGTATCTTTAACTTTGAAGGCATACTGTTTTGAAGAGAATAATTTTTTCTTCTCTTATAACATCAGACATGAGTTTCATAAAAGAAGACCTCCATGATCGAAGGGCAATTAAGGAATTTGTAAAGAAACTTAAAAAAAAAATGGAGCGCACTATTGAAAGTTGGATGTCTTCCTTTAATTGAAAGAGAAGGAATGATGAAAAAAGGTTAATTAGTTTCTTTTCTGCTATTGGTGACCCTTTACAAGACAGCAACAATTTGCATAAAGGCACAGCTTTGTCTGTTTAGGACTGAACCAAGGTCATCACCTTTCTGTTTGTCTAGCACTACATTTTTAAGGGCTATTCACCACTGACTATTGTAAGTTTCAAGTGAACTTGAAGTTTCCTTGAATACTTCCATTGGTGGAGATGCATAGTGTTCATACAGGACCTTTATATGTGACAAAATAAGACTCCTATTCATACTCTTTACATAAATTCTGCATAGTGTATGGTTTGATTATTTCTTCTTTTTTTGCATATTTTTTTTTCTAATTTGCATATGGGGTCATTAATTTTCTCAAAGCTGAGGACCTAATAAGTGGACAGCTGAGAAGCCAAACAGGATGCAAATAATAACATTTGAGCCACAAAAGAGGAGGGGGGTTCCCATTCACTGGGA